GGTCGGGCAGGCATTGGGACACACCCACCTGCCCGACAGTGAGTTTTACCTGCCCCGGGCAGTCGGGCAATAGGATTTGTCGAACCCGAGACACGCCCACTCTGATTCRGCAGATYACCCCTTCTCCAATGTTCTGCTTTAACTCCTCCCACCTTCATGAAGGTCTGCTTTGATTTATCCCGTCTTGTCTGAAGCTCTGTTTGACTCCTCTCTGAATGTGAAACTCCACCTTAATTTCTTCCACCTTGTCTGAGGCTTGCTTTGACTCCTCCCACTTTATCAATGCTGTGTTTTGACCCTTATCTGAGTCTCCACCAGGGCTGTGCACTCATGTTCATTGAATAATTTTGTGATTTGACCCTTTATGATTGATTATGATAAAAATATTTTTTAGTCAAATAAAAATGTTTTGTGTTAACTAACAACTAATGTAACCATAAAAAATAATTAAATAATTATCTTTTTACCTTCTACTACACAGTTGTTTAAGAAAAAAACACTAGTGCAAAATGGAAAAATGAAGTAAGAATGTGACAAAATATAAATATAACAACAATAACAACAAAATAACTTCCATTGCAAGCAGGCATGATGTAAATGACTAACTTCAAACAGTTTGGAGACCCTGCATGGGTATGCCCACCCTTTGTCTGCATTTTAGGCTTTTTCACAAGACACCTCAGTCTGGGACTGAGACATGTGCTCGTCTTGGTGTGTCTGCTGGATGGACCGAGGTGATGAGGGGGTCAGCCTGCCTCTGATGCCCCTCTGATGCCCCTCTGATGCCCCTCTGTGCCGCGGTGAGAGGTAGCAACAGAGCCAGACTTATTGTGAAACAACAATCTGCAGTGCTGTGGCTCAGTAATGTGCTGAAGTGATGGCAGTAATGTGCAACAACAGGTTTATTACAGAAGGAATATTAATGATGACACATTATAATTAGTTTTAAAAGWTAGTTAACCATAGAGGATCGCTAAAGAAAGTTAGCTCATCATGTTTTGATATGTGGGGAGGTGTCACACATTTAATGTGTTACACTCCACACCTGTGTTGGTTCTGATGCTGAGCTGTCCCATCGGTGTATCTAAGAACAGACCATTTGACTCTGCCCACCTCTCGCATGTCTCAGTTGGTTTAAGGATGTATTTGTATCCTTCTTACCCTGGATCAGAAACTCCTGAGTTTACCCTTTAGAAGATGCCACATGGGAGCTTACCCAGCAGTCTGCATGATGTTTAACTGCGTCCTTTGATTGTGCAGTGAGGCYCTTTTTGGTTTTAATTTGGAACATAAAATAGAAACAGAAAAAATGAGGCGGGAGCTGAAACAGACCATTAAAGATGTTGCTGTGGTTTTGTTTCTGTACAGTATCAGAAACATCTGGTCCCTGGCCTGATTTTAAAAGAACACTGGACACAGTMTTGTATAGTTTCATCTAAAATCTAAACATACTCCTCTTCATCTCCATCTCTTTCTAACTGGGTTCTCCCTGTCTTTATCCCCCATCTCACCCCCTTCCTCCATCCTTTGCCTCGTGGGGCTGTTGCTAAGGAGATCTGGCAACCACAAAGTTGTCTGATTGGGCAGAGGGAGAGGTGAAAAGAGAAATTTGAAAAAGGAGGAGGGATGGAGGTGGGGGTGGTGTAGATGAAGTCTGATATGAATGGAGGCTTACAGAAGGAAACACAAAGTGAGGTCGACATGTGGCAGTCAGGTGTGAGGCTGAGTCTGGGTTTCCTCAGAGATGGAGGTTAAAACAAGAGAGGCTGATTAAAGGCTTCACATCTGTCTGGAAGAGAAATAAATCAAATAAATTTAATAAAAAAGGAAATATCTGGAGAGAGAGTCTGACTGTACCTTCTCATTTTCACTGGCACAAAATATGACACACACACACACACACACACACACACACACACACACACAC